CTTCATTTAGTGGCATATTTATCCTTTTCATTTTTAATAGTAGTGATATGATTTTCTTCTTTCTTTTTTAAAATCAAATTAACCAATGCTTAATCTATTTTGTGGATTTTTTTCATTAAACCAACTCCTAGTTTCATATGTTAATTCAATGGGTTTTTTTTACACTCAATTTTATTGATCTCACCTTTATTTTTTAGGATTTCCAATTCTGTGTTTAATTGGTGATTTTTAGTTCATTCTTTTTCTAGTTTTTTAATTGCATAGACAATTCTTAGGTCTCTTTTTTCTCTATTTTATTGATGCAAGCATTTAGAAATAGAAATTTTCCTCTGATCACTGTTTTTGTTGTATCCCATAGGTTTTAATATATTATCTTATTGTCATTTTCTTTAATGTAATTATTGATTTTTTTCTATGATTTTTAAAAAATATACTCATTCTTCAAAATTATTTAATGTCCAATTGGTTTTTAATCTATGTTTCCATGGTCCCTTATTTAATATAATTTTTTTGTGGTATTATGATATGAACAGGATACTTCTAATATTTCTGTTTTTAACTACAAACATTTTATGTCCTAAAATATGGTCAATCTTTGTAAAGGTACTATGAATTGCTCCTTTTTATTTCCTATTCAAGTCCTCCAGATATCTATCATATCTGGCTTAACTAAAATTCTATTCAGTTCCTTGACTCTTTCTTACTTATTTTTTGGTTAGATTTTTAGTTCTGAGAGGTAAAGGTTAATGTCTCCCGCTATTATAGCAATACTATCAATCTCCACCTGTGATTCACTTCATTTTTTAAAAAAAAATTTAGATGTTATAGCATTTTCTGCATATAGGTTCAGCATTAATATTGTAATTACCTTGTTTATCTTTTTTAATTAAATTTATTTTAGCCATAACTTTGTCTGAGATCATGATTGCATCTGCTGAAGCATACTAAATTCTACTCCAACCCTCCATTTTACTTCTGTGTGTATATCCCCTTTTTAAATGTGTTTCTTGTAAAGAATATATTGTTGGGTTCTGATTCTGTCTTATGGGTGAATTCATCTCATTCATATTCAAAATTGTAATTACTATTTGTGAATTTCCTTCCATCTTATTTTTACTCACTATTGTCCTCTCAGCCTCTCTTTTTACCCTGTCCCAGTTACCTTATTTCTCCCCTTACCCTCGTATTCTTTATTCTACCCAACCCTCTAAGAGTCTTTACTTTATCCTCTCCCTCCTTGACCCTGTCTCTTAGTCCTCTCACCTCTCTAATCCTGAATACTTCTCTACCCCTTCAGATGTTCACATTGTTTCCTCTTCAATCCATATCAGATGAAAGAAAGGTTCCAACATTGCCAGCCCACCATCCTCACCTGCTTCCTCTATCAGTTTTCCTTTCACCCATTTCTGAGGTAATTACTCCTTTTAATCTTTTCCTATCCAATTTTGTTTCTAGAATCATGCCATCATACACAACTCAGGCCCAATCATTCTTTCAAGCTACCCTATTAATGATGATAGTTTTAAGAATACTGATAACATTTTCATATATAAGAAATAAAGAGTTTGACCTTAATGAGTCCCTTATAATTAGTCTTTAATGTTTTCCTTATGTTTCTCCTGGATCTTTTATGTCAAAATTTCCCTTGAGTTATTGTCTTTTTGTCACAAACACCTGAAAGTCTTTGAATTTTTCAAATGTCCTTTTTTCATTCAGGATTATACTCAACTTTTCTGGGTAAGTTATTCTTGGTTATAACCCCAATTCTTTTGCTCTCGAAATACAATATTCTAAAACCTACGGTCTTTTAATGTAAAAGCTGCTGTCTTCTGAAATCCTAATTGTATCTCCACAGTATTTAAATTATTTTTGTTGTTGTTGTTGCTCACAATATTATCTCTTTAACCTGGGAGTTTTGAAACTTGGCTATGACCTTCTTGTAAGTTTTCCTCCTGGGATCTCTTTTAGGTGGTGAACAGTAAATTGTTTTCTATTTCTGTTTTACCCTCTTGTTCTAGAACTTCCACAGAGCTGCACCAGGGAAGCAGAGATGTCCTCAAAGAACTTTCACCTGATCTGACCCAGAATGAGGATCAGATGACTGAGTAGGGGAATATAGAAGGGCCACCCTCACCCTGCTGTTTCCAGATGCTAGGTCAAGCAGTGCTGATAAGACATGATCCTGGGCTGCAGCTGTGGAAAAGGAGGAGTAAGCTCACAACAAGTGTGTGTGGTACCAGTACAGCAGTAGGACAGAACATTTTCAGGACAGCGGGGCTCAGGTCCATATTAATTTGGAACTATGCCCCCAAAGATACTAAACTGTGCATAGCCTTTGACCCAATGATACCACTACTAGGCCCATATCACCAAAACATAGAAGAACAAGGGAAAAGAAGCATATATACAAAAATATTTATAGCACCTCTTTTTGTGTTAGCAAAGAATAGGAAATTAAGGGGAAACCTACCAGTTGGAGAATGGCTGAATAAATTATGACATATGAATGTAACAAAATACTATTGTGTCTGAAGAAATGACTGGAGTGATTATTTCAGTGCCACCTGGGAAATCTTGTAAGAACTGATACAGACTGAGCTCTGAACCCTTTGCCAAAGTCATGTCATCTCACTAGACCTCTGTTTCCCCAAACACCATCTATAAAATTAGGGGAATGGGCTAGTTGATTGATTTCTAAAGTCCCTTCCTTGGTGCTGTCAAGGAGCTGATTACGGACTAGGGGAACACAAGTGTTACAAATGATTTTAGATAACGATGTTCTCCTGTCTTCTCAACACAAAGGGCAGTGCTTTTTCAGTGCTTGTTGGAAAGAGCAATGCTTTTGCCTTGCTTAAAAGATTCAGGGTCTTATCTGAATCTGCAAGAATGGAGAACAGGGAGAAAGAAGTTCATGTGGATATGATAAGGCAGGTAGGACTTAATGAAGGGGGACTCACTGAGGAGCTCTCAACTCCCTAGGTCAGGGGAATTTAGGGGAGCATTTCTAACTTGAAGTCATAAGACGTGAGTTAAAGTTCTGGAACTGATAGTCACTGCTCCTTTCTGGACCTCACTTTCTGCATCTGTAAAGTGGGGACAACAATATTTTCACCAACTACCTTACAGGTCTGTCCTGAGGAAAATACTTTGTTATTATTAGACCATAGAAATGTAAGGTGTTTTAGGTTTAGATCTGGGAGGAATCATACACAATAGTCATCAATTGCAACCACCTAACTTTAACTGAGCCCCACAGAAGTTCAGTAATTTACCCAAGATCAGACAGTTCAGAGCCGTTAGTTGCACTCAGGTTCCCCTGACTTCAAACCTGATGACTTTCCACTCCAGCACCTAGAATGGGGTGACCACAGTGGACCATTCTCCCACAAGTAAATTGAAGCATACACTCTATGTGTGAATAGACCACTTCACCTGGCTCCTGGTGTAGAACTCTGGTTTAGTAAGCGCTCCTGAACTGAAGATGTCTGGGAACCTCAGCTGGCTTACTGCTTGCTTAGACATGAAGCTCAATTCTCTCTTTATAGTTTCTGTTCCTCTGCTCTGAATGAGATCCCATTTCTGGAATCCTGATCTTTTTACCCCACTCCACATTTGAACCAATAGAACAGACTGAATAATTTATGATCAACCTGTGGCCTCTCACAGTGTAGAGCCTGGGCAAAACAGACCAGAAAATGATCTCACAGCCAAGGGAGAAAGAGCAGGAGACAGTGTTAGCACAAATTACACACTAGGTTACAAACTAGATGTGACACCTTCTATCCCTATAACTTCCTTATGATTTCCCAAACAACTATTGGAGTCCACAAGAGAGGCTGGAGAATGGGAAATATTTAACTATTTAAAGATAATGGTGTTGAAAGAACACACTGGATCTAAAAACACATTTAATTCCACCTAAGGAAATCTTCTTTTGTTATTCAGTCACAACTCTTTATGATCACACTTGAGGTTTTCTTGGCAAACATACGGGAGCAGTGTGCTATTTACTTCTCCAGTTCATTTTAAAATTGAGGAACTGAAGCAAACAGAATTAATTGATTTGCCCAGGGTCACACTTGTAAGTGTCTGAGGACAGATTTGAATTCAGGAAGATGAGTCTTTGTGATGCCCAGCCCACTGCTCTATAACAAACATAAAGCTATAATAACCAAAGACTTTCTGGACATCTAGTAGATGCATGCCCAAACACCATGCACGATATCTGCCAAAGATAGAAAAATGATGGCAAGGGTCACATTAAGCACGATAAATATATAGATATAAAATTGTTACAAATGCATTTCCCACCTATTTTACCGAATCATGAAGAAACATGGGATTTGCATATTTAGCTACATAAAGTAAGGAAGACGGATGTAGTGGGGAAAACACTGAATTGGAGCCAGGATGCCTGGATCCTGAAATTAGCAAATAATGCGGTGTGGGGCAGGTCATATCACTATTCTGGACCTCACTTTTTCTCATCTACAGAATGAAGAGATTGGACCAGATGATTTGGTGAGAAGCTAGGAGATTTGTGATCTCTTCAAATGTTTGTCCTTTCCTCAAAAAGGATCAGAATTAGCCAAGATTGCCAATGTGGCTGGAGGTAGAACTCTTCCCTATGTTTATCCCCATTTTATAGATAAAACTGAAGCAAACAGAGAAGTGATTTTCCCACAGTCATACAGCCAGTAAGTGTTTAAGGCTGGATTTCAACTCAGATCTTCTCAACTCCAGGTCCTACACTCTGTCCAAGGTACCACCTCACTGCCATCACATTGTGAGCAGTTAATCTGCTATACAAGCACAATATTTATACGTGTTGAAGTGTATAGCCTGAGGTATTTAAAAGTAGAAAAGGGTTTCTAACCCATTGGTGGTGGATAAATGCATACAAGTACAGGATAAAGTCCCAACTACCAAGAAGCTTAAGAACTGGTGAGGAGCACAGAACAGGATCAACTAACATTTCTGAAAGAATACACAACATAAGGTGCGTATATAATTCAGTCTTAAATTGTGAATTACAGATTGTATTAAAGAGGCCACAAGGATATGGCATCTAAATTGTGATGTGAAGAGTGGGTAGGATTTTAATCAGTGCAGTTGAAGAAAAGAGAAGAAATATTACAGAAACAGAGAAATTTTCTGGGGAATGTTGGGGAAGCTTAAGTCATGATTTTGGCAAAAGTCAAAAGGAGTATTAGATTATGCTAGAAGGGAATATTGGGCTGAAATCATACAGGGCTTTCCCTGCCAGGTAATGGAATGAATACAGCTTGTCCGTAACACATGAGGAGACTCTAGAGCACCTGGAAATAGTGATGGTCCTTCATGTTTTTTAGAAAGGTAGAAAGCAGAGCTCATAGGAAGGGGGTAGTTTGCCAAATCCACTGGCAACAGGGGAGATGTCAATATCTTTGGGGTCAATGGGAGATTTCAAGGTAAAATTCTGTAAGATTGTAGTAAAAAACAGAAATAATTCCATCCGCGCCATGCTCTCCCCAACACATATCCTTTTTCCTGAAAGAGACAAATATAAGAATTTGAAATTCATAGACTTCTAAATCATCTAGACAACTTCTTCAGACTCATAGGTAGCCCACTAACACTCAGTGGCATTAGGCAAAAGACTGAATGCATTCCTTTCCTCTCTGGTCCTTGACTCCTTTGAGGAGCCTATTCCCCCTGAACAGAGAGGGAAGACCCCTCCAATTATGCTTTTTCTTAATCAATCCCCCCTGAGCCAAGGCAAGTCCTGGGATTCACATTCAGGAAAAAAAAAAGTCATTGCCCTAGGGAGAAAACAATCACTCATTTATAATCTCAAGGACTAAGTTTATGGCTACCCAGAGTGACTGTGATGAGGAAATGTGACAGAAGAATGACTAAAGTTCCTTTTTGGGAACCTCCTGTCACCATTCTGGACAGAAAATACCTCTGGGGTCTACCCTGCAACTTCACGGCCATCCAGCCACTTGTCTTAACTACTCACTCCTATCTCTAATCCAAGTATTAGAATCAATTGAACAGGGCATGGCATTGGAGATCACAACTTCGGGGATAATTAACTGCCTGTCAACATTCATGTCTGCCATACCTAGACTTGGCTATCACCATCATTACCTGATAACCAATAGATTCCCCCAACAATTGAAGGTGAAAGGACAAGACAGATTATCAGTGATAATTCTGTACCAATAGATCCCCATTAAAACCTACATAACTAGGCAATGGGGTTCCATACTCATGTGTCCTAGTCAGGAGTCACATTTGTACAAAATCATAAATTCTAAGATTACATCTTTGGTGACCTTAGCTATAATGGTATGTGAGTAATGAGCCTTAAGATAACCCAATCCCCTACCTTGGCTTGATAAGATACAAGATTGTACCATGCTAACATAAAAGCCTGGAAGACTTTATCTGAGAAGTAGCTCCTGGTTGAGGGTGACTGAGATGACAGTTTTTAATATGAGTGGTGGAGGGGGCTTTAGTTGTGGGTCTGGATGCAGAATTGAGTGGCCACTATCTCAGTTCTGTCTTTTTTTTTTTTTAAATAAGCTCAGACAACTACCCTGAAAGCCAACTGATTTAGTTTAGCTAATGAACTGTAGCCCAAGGAGAATCAGAATAATGGCATACTATGTCTCCACCCTAATCCCTGGTTTCAGAATTTAGAAAAACCAAAATGGTCACCTAGTCCAATCCAATCTTTTGTCATAAAAGGTGACTGAAGCCAGGGAGACATGAAATACTTTGACCAAGGTCACATATGTAAAAAGTAGCAAAGGTGGATTGAAACACATTTCCTTTGAGTTATCAGTCCATCTTTGATGCACACATTTAGATGAATATCTTACCTGCTGAAAAAGGCATGAAATAGTCACTTTTCTTAAATTTGCCGCTTTCATCCAGGAAGTGACCTGGGTCAAAGTTGTCCGGATTGGCGAACCCTTCATCATCATAATGAACAGAAGACAATATTGGTATTATGGTAGTACCCTGAAATGAGTAGATAGAAACAAATAATTAGAAAATAAGAACCATAGAATGTTAGAGTTGAAAGAAAACTCAGAGCTATCATCTAGCCAAAATCTTTCATTTTTAAGTATAGGAAGCACCAACATTTTTTATACACCTGTGCTGATAGTAAATTAGAAAGTCTGCAATAATATTGTGAGAGATGAAACTGAACTTTGACCCCTTGTGGGAAAGAACCAGTATCAATGAGTAGAAGACACAAGGAGGCAGATCTCAGGTTAATAAAAGTTAATAAATTAACTTTTGACCATTAGATATATCAAAGAAGGAAAGAACTGCCTGGGTAAATATTAAGCACACCAAGTTCAAGCAGATGCCAGATGATCTGAAGAGGTACAAATGAATTCTGACCTGTATCAGGATGTTGAAGAATAAAATAATGTCATGTAGAAGAATAAGGCAAGAGCTGATAAACAAATTGGGAACTTGTCTTGAAGATGAAGAAATTAGATGTTCTAAGGAAGAAGCAATTGCTTGTCATCTAAAGAATGTAAAGTAGGTATGGTAAAATGGTAAAAGTAGGTATGGTAAGAATGGTAAAATATCTGCTAGTGAGTTAGCCTGAGGTTCCTTCTAATTCTAAGATTCTATAATTAAATGGGAGAGATTATGAAATCTTGTGTTGTGTTATAGTGAGAAACACTTCTGACCTTGGGGATAAGATATTGTCTAAACTGAATATCTTCTGTCACTGAATGGGGCAGGCTGGTTGGAATAAGGTCAACGTATCGCTGTATTTCATGTATCACAGCATTGGTGTAAGGCATCTTGTTTCTGTCCTCTATGCAGGGACTTCGATTTCGGCCAATCACACGATCAATTTCTTCATGAATTTTTCCTGTGACAATATGAATGAAAATTGATTTTAAAAGTAGGAACAAAAACTGCCTTCTCTCATATTTTCTCTGATTTTCACCAAGAGCAGCACTGGTAAGTAATGCACTTGACACTCACATTCTGATAGATAGATAGATAGATAGATAGATAGATAGATAGATAGATAGATAGACAGACAGACAGATAGATGAAAATTCCATTTAATTCTCTTAAGTCAGCTGAGAATCCGTTGAGGCACCTATGCCCCATGCACTCAGGACAGGCTCAAGTTGTCCTTAAAAAAACACAGGTGAAGCCGGACTTGGTTAACGAAATGAAGAGGACTTTAAGTCTGGAATTGTTCCAGAACTCAATGTGACCAAGCATAGGCCCAAAGTACTTCCCTGAGTGGCTGTATAAGTGACAGGAATCCAGAGGCATGAGTTCCTCCTATGGTCAGTCATGGTCAATAAGCTATCAGGAACTAGTGCCTCTCAATCATTCCGTTCCCCTCAAGTCTATGAGTGGGCTATAGTCTCTATCTCTATCACTATCCTGAGGAATAACTCACAATTACATACAACTTAACTAAGCAGAGTGTAGATAGTAGTGGAAGAAAAGGAATAAGGAAACTTGAACATGTAATGACTTAAATATATTAAAATGAGAACAGAAAAGTTTCCAAGGAAAGTCTCAAAAGGACCATGAACAACTCCAATGCTGAATAAATGGTGGATGTGTGATATCAGCCTGTAATCCCACCTGCTATCTCAGGGTATTTCAGGAGAATCAGGAGTCCATATCTCAGTGTGGTGCTTGTTGTCTCTGTTCCTGCTGCAAATAGGTCAGATGCAGTACAGACCAGGTTTTCAATGGTGAATTCAGAACATGGTTGTTGCTTTTCCTAGGAATAATTTGGTATGATTAATTGAAAAGTAAGTGAGGCAGCAGGTCACAAGGGAAAGCATGATGGATTTGGAGGCAGAGGACCTTGGTTTGAATCCTAGTTCTGATTTTTCTTTCAATTATTTGTGGGGAGGCAATTAGGATTAAGTGACTTGCTCAGTAAGTGGCTAGTAAGTGTCGGAAGCTAGATTTGAACTCAGGTCTTCCTTACTTCAGGGCTGGGGTTCTATCCACTGTGCTTCCTAACTGCCTCCAACCCACCCCCAGCTCTGATCTTCACCTTGGACAAGTCATTTAATCTTTTTACGTTTCCATTTCCTCATCTGTAAAATGAAGAAGTTGGATTCAATGACCTCCAAGATTCCTTGCAGTTGTAAATCTATGATCCTATAAATCAATTAAGTTTGAGCAAAACAATCCAAAGTGCAACAAGAAGCTGGCAATTATCAAGGCAGTTTGCCCATTACAGGTATTACATGCAGAGACAGAGGGAGAGAGAGAGAAGAGAGAGAGAGAGAGAGAGAGAGAGAGAGAGAGAGAGAGAGAGAGAGACAGAGACAGAGACAGAGACAGAGACAGAGACTAGAACTTGCAATTTCATTGGCACAAGGAATTTCTGACTAAAAAAAAAGTCTCTTTGTCAAACTTGCAATTTCATTGGCACAAGGAATTTCCGACTAAAAAAAAAAGTCTCTCTGCCAATGCAAGTCTTCACTTTCTCTAAAAAAAAATTAAATTTTCAAGAGAGTTGCCTAGCCTTAGGGCACTGTAAGATTAAGTGACTTGCCCAGGATCATATACACATTTTGTATCAGAGATGGGAGTTGAACTCAGTTTTGATTGGGTATGAGGTCAGCTCTTTATCTACTGCATCACAGGTGTCAAAATCTCAGCCCCTGCATCAGAAACAACCAGCAAAACTGTGAGTGGCCCAAACCAGTTTAAAATGTAAATGGGAAATGTTAGGAAAATAAAGATATAATACAACACAGATAATGTTAATTTGTGGTATTTCTAAGTCAATGTGAGGCCAATCGGGATCCATTTCTATTCATGTTTGACACAACTGTACTGTATCATTCCACATAACAAACATCAAGAATTTCTGTGGATATATACAAGCAGGTAGGTGGTGCAGTCGATTGAGTGCTGGGCCTAGAGTCAGGAGGACTCATCTTCCTGCATTCAAATGCGGCCTCAGACACTTACTGGGTCTATGACCCTGGACAAGTCACTTAACCCTGTTTGCCTCAGTTTCCTCATCTGTAAAATGAGCTGGAGAAGAAAATGAAAACCACTCCAGTATCTTTGTCAAGAAAACCCCAAATGGGGTCATGAAGAGTCAGACACAATTGAAATAACTGAACAATGTTACCTATTGTATTTTCCTCCTGATTTACTAACCTAATAAATCTTGTCACTTTATATCAGTTTGAGATAAACAGGATTTATTAGTTTAGCAAATGAGAAAGGAAAAAATTAACTCACACATATATAACAGTGTATACAAAAGGGGTCCATGTATATTTTTCCCATTTAATCCTCATTAAAATACCATGATAAAGGTAGTGCATTATTATTGTCATTTTACTAATGAAGAAATTGAAACACTAAATGCTTTGCCATTGACCATGAGACATTGGTATTGAGGAAAAGTCACCACTGAGGTCAGAAATTGAATATATGACAAATACCCAATGGACCAAAGATAAGAAAGGTAAAAACATAGGAAAAGCAGGCAGGTAGTACAGGACATAATTCAAGTTCAAGTCAACCAAAGTCTATTCTCACTGTGAGTGATGAAGGAGAAAAAAAGCATATGGCCTTCTTCAGATTCTCATGCATGAGAGGGGTGAAGCCAAGATGATGGAGTAAAAGCAGTGACTTGCTTGAGCTCTCCCCCAAACCTCTCTAAAGAGCTGTAAAAATGGCTCTAAACAAATTCAAGAGCAGCAGAACCCACAAAAAGACAGAGTGAAACAAGTTTCCAGCCCAAGACAACCTGGATGGTTGATTAGAAAGGTCAGTCTTGTCAGGCTGGGAGAGAAATGTAGTTCAGTGTGGGCGTGCATGCAAAGACCAGGCATTAGAAAACCTGGAGCAGGCCTCAGGGGACTGAATCACGGGCAGCTGTGGTAGTTTCCAGACTTCTCAACCTACAAACACCAAAGACAACTTAGAAGGCCAGTAAGAAAAGTCTGTGTCCATGGTGAGAGAGAAGCTGGGTCCCAGTCCCAATCTGGGCATAGCCCCAGAGGAGCATCTGCTTCTGGAGCTTTTGGCCCAAAGACTGAGGAGGAATTGAGTGGCTGAGCAGAGGGGGATTACAGGGATCTCTTTGCTAGTGATGAGACAGGATTCTCTTGCTTTGCCTGTGTTTAGATCTGGGTGTCAATCCTGGGGCAAGGAGGAGCTCTGGCCTGGTGGAGCTTGTAGTGTCAGTGTAGAGAGAATCCTCCTCACGGTTTCATGGCATAAAAGAGTGCTTGTGGTCACACATAGGCCAGAACACAGGCCAATAAAGGAGTAAACACCTCATCCTTGATCGCACCACTTTGGAAGAACTGAAAATGTGTAGGTCCCTAGAAATATCTCTGAAAACAACTGCACAAAACCCCCAAAGCTTGGGACAGTACATCCTCCACACTGGAAGCAGACTAATTGGGTGGGATCATGAGCAAACTATGCAAAAAAAATTCAGATCATAGAATCTTTCTTTGGTAACAAAGAAGATCAAAATATACAATCAGAAGGAGACAACAAAGTCAAAGCCTCCAAGAAAAATATGAATCAGTCCCCGGCCATGGAAGGGCTCAAAAACGATTTTGAGAAGCAAGTAAGAGAAGTAGAGGAAAAAACTAGGAAGAAAAATGAGAGCGATGGAAGAAAATCATGAAAAACTAGTCAACAGCTTGCTAAAGGAGACTCAAAAAAAGACTGAAGAAAAGAACAACATAAAAAATAGCCTAGGGGCAGCTAGATGGAACATTTACTAGCTATGTGACTCTGGGCAAGTCACTTAACCCCACTGCCTAAACAAAAAAAAAAAATAGCCTAACCCAAATGGCAAAAGAGGTCCAAAAAGCCAATGAGGAGAAGAATTCCTTAAAAAGCAGAATTGGCCAAATGCAAAAGGAAGTCCAAAAGCTCACTGAAGAAAACACTTCCTTAAAAATTAGAATGCAGCAACTGGAAGCTAGTGACTTTATGAGAAATGAAGACATTATAAAACAAAATCAAAAAAAATGAAAAAATAGAAGACAATGTGAAATATTTTATAGGAAAAACAACTGACCTGGAAAATAGAGCTAGGAGAGATGATTTTACAATTACTGGACTATCTGAAAGCCATGATCAAAAAAAGAACCTAGACATCATCTTTCAAGAAATTATCAAGGAAAACTGCTCTGATATTCTAGAACCAGAAGGTAAAATAGAAATGGAAATAATCCATTGATCACCTCTTGAAAGAGATCACCACAGGGAAACACCTAGGAATATTGTAGCCAAATTTCAGAATTCCCAAGTCAAGGAGAAAATCTTGTAAGCAACCAAAAAGAAACAATTCAAGTACTGTGGAAACACAATCAGGATAACAGAGGATTTAGCAGCTTCTATATTAAGGGACCAGAGGGTTTGGAATATTATATTCCAGAGGGCAAAGGAGATAGGGTTACAGCCAAGAATTATCTACCCAGCAAAACTGAGTACAATCCTTCAGGGGGAAAAACAAACATTCAGTGAAATATAGGACTTTCAAGCATTCTTGATGAAAAGACTAGAGATGAATAGAAAATTTGACTTTCTACTACAAGACTCAAGAGAAGCTTGAAGAGGGAAACAGGAAAGAGAAATCACAAGGGACTCATGAAGGTTGAACTGTTTACATTCCTTTTTTTTTTTTTTTTGCTGGGCAATGGGGTTAAGTGACTTGCCTAAGGTCACACACTAGTAAGTGTCAAGGGTCTGAGGATAGATTTGAACTTAGCTCCTCCTGACTCCAGGACCAGTGCTCTATCCACTGTGCCACCTAGCTGCCCCAACTGTTTACATTCCTACATGGAAAGATGATATTTGTAACTCATGAGACTTTTGTCAGTATCAGGTTAATTGGAGGGAAAAAATTATATGTATAGATTGATAGATAGAGGTCACAGAGTGAGTTGAAGATGAAGGAGTGCTATCTGGAGAATAAAATTAATGGGTGAAAGGATTCTAGTGGGAGGAGAAAGGGAGAAGTAGAATGGGGTAAATTATCTCACATAAAACAGACAAGAAAAGGCTTTTACAGTGGAGGGGAAATGGGGGAAGGTGAGAGGGAATGAGTGAATCTTATTCTCATCAGATTTGGCTTAACTGGTTATGGAAAGCTTTCTTACCCTAGAGGATAATAGAGAGGTAGGGGATAAGAGAGGGAGGGATGATAGAGGGGAGGGCAGATTGGGCGAGGGTGTAATCAGAAGCAAACAATTCTGCAAAGGGACAGGGTCAAAAGAGAGAATAGAATAAATGAGGGGTCAGATAGGATGAAGGGAAATATAGTTAGTTTTCCACAGCATGACTACTATGGAAGTGTTTTGCATGTCCTGTATCAAGTTGCTTGCCTTTTCAATAAGGGTTGGTGGAGGGGGAGGGAGGGAGAAAATGTGGAACCCAAAGTTTTAAAAAACAAATGTTAAAAAATTGTTTTCACATGCAACTGGGGAATAAGATATACAGGCAATGGGGTATAGAAATTTATCCTGCTCTACAGTAAAATAGAAGAGAAAGGGGATAAGAGAAGGGGAGGAGATAGAAGTGAGGGCAGGTTAGGGTGAAGTGTATTGAGAATGAATGTTGTCTTGGGGTTGGGGGAGGAACATGATGGGGAGAAAATTGGGAACTCAAAATCTTGTGGAAGTGAATGTTGAAAACCAAAAATAAATAAATTAATTAATCTTAAAAAAAAGAATCTCATACATAAAACAGAGAGCATTACAACAGATTATGTAATTTTTCTAAAAATCTCTTGGTCTAGTCTACATATTTTCCCTCTCCCACATTCCTTCATCCACCAATGGGGTAGGAATCTGTGGGAGAATATACCCTTATGTGCACAGGCTGAGGAAGGTAGAATTTTCCTTGTCAGTTATGTTGCTGTACTACTAAATTAAATGTGATTTGAATTAATGTGTTTTCTGCTTGATCTGGTAAGAAAACTGTAAGTGGTGACCTCAGAGTACACTTCATTGCTGTTAAGTGGGTCGTTGATCCATTTCAGGATGTCCATTAGCATATCTTTTACCTTCTGACATATTGCTGGTACTTTCAGGGCTTCTTTTACTCCATCCACATTACATTATCATTTTGCTTTGTTCTAGTTTTGTTAATTTTTTAAATGTAACTTTTCAATGATTTTTCTTCCCTTTGGTTTTGCTCTTTGTTGTTTGTGGATGGGATGGAAAGTGAGAAGCCTCTAATCCCATCATCTTGAATGTAAAACCCACCATCCTCCTCCCAAGTACCTACCACAGCAGCCCCTCCATTCCAATCAGGCTGCTCAGATTGAAATTCCCTATTCCCCACCGTCTTTGCAGAGTCCTGAAAAGATCTGCCCAGTCCTCACTGCCTAGCTCTAGGATGTACTTCACGACCAAGGTTAAAACTTAAATCTTCCAGAAGGAAACCTTACATTAACCCTCCCCAAATATTATATTTCTTGCTAATTCCAAATTCCTTCATCATTTAAATGTTCAATTTATAATCTATGTTGGCTTTCCTTACACATTCCTGATAATTATTCTCTTGGCCTTACATGTGCTTCCTTCTTTCTATTGGTTTAGAAATTCCATTAGGGCTAGGACCCTATCTTCTAATGCTTCTTTCTGTCTCACATAATGCTCTGAGCACACTACAATTAATATATGATTATTTACTGCTCTATGTCTATAAATGTGAGTGTCAGCCTCTAATACACAGGCCATTTCACCTACAAGAACTGAGATTCTACTGCTCATACTCTACCTGCTCCATTTTCATCAGGAAACAGTCAATGAAGTCCCGAGGATTGCTGGGGTCCAGTGTCCTTTGGTGCTCCTTCACTTCTTCCAAAATAAATTCATGTAGTAAATCAAAATTTTTAATTGCTTTGTGATGAGATCCAGGGAGATAATGTGCTAGAGATGAAAAAGAATTGTAGATCTAAAAAGACAAATTTTATATCATACTTTATTAGAAAGAGAAAATACTTCTCTTGCATTTTGATAATGTTGAGAAGAGGGCTGAATAAGGGTGGGACAAATGTCCTTTGCCAAATAATGACTTTTTCTCATCATTTCCTATACAAATCTCCTAAAAATATTTCAATATTTTAAAAAATATTCAATATTGCTTGCCTGAGACTATGTTGGCCTTCACTCTCAATTCTTACTTCCTACAGAAAAGTTCTCAGCCTTTCTCATTATGAGGTCTTCTAAGAGCTCTACTTACCATCTTCCATTGGGACAGGTAACTCATCTGCTAACCTGATCCAAGCTCAGGTGCTCAAGGGAAAAGTCAGCTTCTCTATAGTAACATGAATTTTGACATTTGTTCCCTGTGACCAGTGGGTGAACTCATCCAGGGAGTGGCCTTATAACATCCCTCAAATCAGGCCACATAGGGGTGATCTTTTCAGTCTTTACTCCCTGACAATGAAGAAAAAAATGTGAACCCATCTCAGCATGGTCCTGTTGTACCTCCCAATGGAATGCATGATGAAGCCTAGCCTAGCTCCTTGCAGTAGTTTCTTTGAAGTAATAAAAAAAAAAATACCCTGAGCTCCAAAATGAGACAACAGTGGCCTTACCTGAATCCATGGGGAACTCAAAATCTTCATGTTTTCATCTATAAGCTTAATTAAATACAGAAATTTTGGGTCTTTATATTCAAAATGTTTCTGGAAGATGACAGAACAGATTACATTGCAAGGAGCACAACCAAGGATGAACATGGGGTCACACAGTAATCCTAAAGGGAAGAGAGAGAGAGAGAGACTTTAATGCTGTCATTGTGATTAAAAGGAAGGTTTTCCTGTCTTTAGATAGGAACTGACTGTCCTCCTTTCCCCCCTAGCTTACATTATAGCTGACAAGTGGCACAAGAAGGTTGAAAACGAGTTACTCTTTATGAAGCATCTGGTTTGATCCACATACAAATCCTAAGTGCAAACAGTATAATTTCCATTTTATAGATGAGGTTGCTGAAGATCAAGAAAATTAGCTGATTTATACCACAACAAGGAAAGATCAGGAAGTGGAATTCAACCCGAATTCTGTCCTTGCCCCGAATACAGTGCTCTTCCTACCATACCACATTACTTTCCATTTCTAAATCCCTATTCATCACCTCACCCTAATGAGGTTTTGCTTTCAGAGTTCTTCATGTCTATCTTTAAATTATATTTCATTTCAATATAATCACAGGATGGCAGTTGCAGGCACTGGGCTGGAAGCCTTGCTGTTCCAAATGCTCTTTGGGTCAGGGTCCTGGACTGTTGAAGGAGTGATCATGTCTAGGTGGTGATGCTAGGTTTCCTTGACTGGTATATATTGCTCTCGTCTCTCCCTCAGGGTGCCCCACTGCTTTAGCCAGGCTGGCCCATGTCCCTTGTGCATAGCAATTGGCTGGGAATTGCTGGTAACTGGGGGTGATGGCCAGCTCCTTCCTCATAGGAGTTGCCTCCCCATATGAGAGCTGTGAGCACTAAACTAGGACAGAAGGTCTAGAGATTGTTGCCACTCTTTTGTCTCTTGTATTTATGTACTTGGTGGTAGCTGGTCATCATTTCTTGCTAGTGGTAATGAGAAAGATGGGCCCCTTCTCCAAAGTGATTTATCCTCTCAATGAGAACTGTAGAGACTGGCCTAGAAGGGATCTGGAAGGGAAGACACTGTTATTCCCAAAGTCTTGTGCTCAAGGGCCTGGGCTGTCTCAATCAGGGTTAGAGGGGAGATGATCATTAAGGTGGGGATGGTGTGACCAGCCTGGATCATTCAGGTGTTCTCCCTCCTCAAACTACTTTGCATTCATTTTGTTAATATTTTTCAATATATGTGGATGAACTTCTGTGGAAGCAGCTGCTAGGCTGCATCTCCACAAGGTAGTGGCTATGCACACTGGAGTGAAGGTATTGCTATTCCCCAGGGTCTTGGGTTTGGAGGTCCTGGGCTGTCTCCATCAGGGTCAGAGGGGGATGGTGGTCAAGGTGGTGGTTATATTAAAGAGGCCCAAGGACAGAGTCTTGGAGATATTCACACTTAGGGGATTTAAGGTGGATAGTGATTCAGTAAAAGAATATAGAGAAGCAAAAATCAGGCACAAAGAAGAACCAGTGGAGAACAGCATGATAGATGAGAGTATCAATCAGTCAACCCACCAGCAGTCACTAAGCTCTTACTAGGCCATGTGCTAAGCACCAGGGGCACACAGACAAAAGTGAAACAGACCCTGCCCTCAGAGAGCTTACATTATAATGGGGGAGACAACATCTACACTGGGGAGTGGAAAAAATCCCACATTCCAACATGGTGGTGTAATGCTGTTCTCAGTGTATTCGTATATTATTCTTGGTGAAATATTCTGGAGCAGGAGAGCACACATAGCTAATTATGAGCAACGTCTGACAGTACCCTTCTACTGCCCAATTCCTGCCACCCAACACACACACACACACACACACACACACACACAGAGTACACAGAGATTTTGCCTTTTATAGTCTACAAAGTAGTTATCACATAGAATTTATGGCATCAACATCTCTATTTATGCCCTCCTCCAATGTCCTGTTGCCACCTTACCTTTCAGATTTCATAAAAGGAAGACAATCCCTCTGGTAGCTACCTTAGATCAGGGAGGAGGAGGATGTATGATGGAAAAGAGCTTCCAAGAGATGCTGCTGAGTCAGCTCATTGACGTCCTAGTAATATTCTCAGCCCTGCTCCCCTTCCTTCTGCTATTCACCAAAATATCAAGAAAATCCCTGGACTCCCCCAAATGATCCTAAAGGAAAGCCTTTCACTCCTAGAATTATTGACTAAAGGTAACAGAACTGGTACTGCTAGGTTCTTGTGAGCTATGCTCCATCTGAAAAGGAAGAAAAACTTATAAAGTCATCCTCACACATGTTCCTCACCATGCTGCCTCCTCACAAGAATAGCATGAACTTATTAGCCGACCTGCACTGCCTCTCATCTCTTCTCTCAGCAGTCTTGACCCTTCAGGGCTTCTAGGAATGACCACACGGCCATGGGCATATCCACAGGATGGGCCCAAAACTGTAAATATGGTGGTTTCAGACTACAGCAAATTCCTTGGACAAACTTCAGTCTCCGTAAGTTAATACAGACAGGACTGATTTTCCTAAGATCAGTCACCAACCTTTTGTTTTCTTTAACTCCTCCACAAGGTGCTTCGCCTCTTCTTGGACTCGCTCTTCAATGCTCCTCTTCCCCATCCCAAAATTCCTCAGAGTCATGAGAGAGAAGCGGCGGATTTGCTTCCATCTTTCTCCATTGCTTATGATGACACCTATAAAGGGGAGCAGGAAGAAGAGAAGCCTTAGACTCTAAAGTTTCTGACAGTACATGTCAGAAAGCCCATGCCCAAGGGCCCTTGACCCACAGTCCTTCTTTGAGGAGAATAGAATGAAATGGGGGGTGTCAGTTTTCTTTCTCCTCTATCAATACTGTCTCCTGTCCTTTCCTATACACCACTATCTTTTCATCACAGTCACAAATGTATCGAGTGGCCCTACCCCCATGTCCCTCTCCTGGAAATGAAGTGGCCACAAAGAGGAAGGCCAAGATAAAGACATTTTTGAGACTCTGAATGGTTGTAGAGTAAGTTAGTTTATATTTCTGCATCTTTTGACACAAGGAACCTAAAGGATTATGATGTCTTCAAGTCGTACTCATCCTACATCACACAAGGATCAAAGAATGAGAGTCTCTGATTCTTGTCTTTTTGTGGGTTACTAGGTGGCACAGTGGACAGAATACTGGGCCTGGAGTCAGTAAGACTCATCTTCATGAGTTCAAATCTAGCTTCAGATACTTACTATTTAGGTGAAACCAGGCAAGTCACTTAACCCTGTCTGCCTCAGTTCTTCATCTCTAAAATGATCTGGAGAAGGAAATGGCAAACCACTCCAGTGTCTTTGCCAAGAAAACCCCACGTTGGGTCATGGAGAATTGGACATGACTGAAATGACTGAGCAACAAGAGATAAACTCAATAAAAAAAGAAAATTTCATAAGGTCAGTGGCAATACCTATGTTAGATGGCTTTGTTAAGCTTTTTTTCCCCAGGAAAGATGCTTTGTAGGATTGTTGTTTATGGGGAAAATATTGTTGGGTCAAAACAAAATATGACAATTATAGAAAGAATTGTAGTTAATTTGAGCAATGGGAAACGTGTATACATACCTTTACGGTACACACATGATACACACATACTAAAGCTTAACATGTTATATCCTTCTTTCCCTGAATACATCACACCTTTCTACTTTCAGATATCACCCTCTGATTTTAGACATAGGGTAAAGACTTCACCTAAATCCCCTTATATCAGGAACTATGCTTTTGCCCATAATCGTATTTCCATAGGACCTTTATCAGGATCAAATTCTTCACCCTCTGCTTCAAGATCCTTCATAAGGGAACCCTAGAAGAAGAAAGGTACTTATATTCCTTCAAATGGACTTTAATTTACTTTGGTTTCATTAAATACCTCTCTGAGAAAATAGAAGCTTATACCAGGAGGCCTCAAAGGATCTGTTGCAAAGTTTAGATCCCCAGTAAAGTGCTTCTGCTGTCTCTTTCATTGATGCCAATCTCATAAATTGCATTCAGTAACACATATGCATGATCTCATAAAAAAAAAAAAAAACTAACTCTGCTGCTTAGGTAGCTCCTGCTCTGCCTCAGAATCCCCTCCAAAATAAAAAAGAAAGAAAAGAAAGCAACTCCCCTTTAGTGTAGGTGAAGAGCTGAAGAAAGGGTTTTACAAAATGTTGCTTGGGCAAATTTAACCTTTTGCCGTGGTTCTGCATCTGAATTCACTGAATTGTAGGCTGTTGTAGTCAAGGGATCTTAGAAATCGTTCAGTCCTCTCCTCTCATTTTATACATGAAGAATGTGAGAAAGATTAAGTGACTCACTTGAAGTCAGGAATGGTTAAGTCTTAGACTGAGGAATGCTGGCCAAAATCCTGGATTCTTTCTACCCAGATCAAGAAATGAAGTGAAAATAACAGGATGAACACTACCCTTAACACTCCCATTTCTTTACTTTCTACAGAAATCTCAAACTCATTACATCCAACACTGAATTCCCTGTTTTCCACGTCCAAACCTCCCCTTCTTCTGTCCTTCCCTATTTCTGTTGAAGGAACTAACACTGTTACAGTCACTCAGGTTCCCAAACTCAGTGGGATCCTTGATTCTTAACTTTTCCCTTAACCTCACATCTAATTAGTTGTCTTATCATTCCTATCTTTACATCAGCTTTCTTTCTTCTTCTTTTTTTTCAAATGAGGCAATTGGGGTTAAGTGACTTGCCCAGGGTCACACAGCTATAAGTGTCAAGTATCTGAGGCCAGAACTGAACTCAGGTCCTCCTAACTCCAGGGCTCTATACACTGTGCCACCTAGCTGCCCTATATCATCTTTCACAACTGTTCCCTTCTCTTCATCCATGGATCCACCACTCTAGTCCACACCTTCATCACTCTTTTGCCTGGAATATTGCAATATTCCTGCCTCCAGTCTACTCTCTCCAATTCAGCCCTCACCTACCTACCAGAGTGACAGGACTGATCAGCTACAGTCAGACACACTGTACCTTGACCCTGATATAGTGATATAGTTTTGGTCCTCTTCCAGCATAAAAGACAACAACCAAAGTGATTTTCCTAAAGTGATAAGCTGAAAAGCTTTCACAACCTGGCCCCAAACTACCCTTTTAACCTCACTGCACATTATTCCTCTCCAAGCATGTTATGGTGAACAGGACTCTTTGCTGTTCCTCATACATGGCACTTCTCCCTGGTATTGTACCCCATCTTTGCCTCAGTCTCCCAGAATCCCCAGATCAGCTCTAGTACCACCTTGTAAAATCAGGCCTTAGATGATCTCCACCCCTGCTAGTGTCTTCACCTTGCATCTATTGTGTGTGTGTGTGTGTGTGTGTGTGTGTGTGTGTAAAATAAATATACATGTCTATGTAAATATATAGTATATATGTATATCTATCTATCCACATATATGTAAATATACATGTTGTCTCTTCCCCATCCAATCCAATTGTAAACTCCTAGAGGGTACTGATTAAATTCATATTTATCTTTGCATCTCCTAACACCCAACCCAGTGCTTGGCACATAACAGATACCAGTCTTCCTCCATCTCACTCCCTTCTATGAATTCTATACTCTAGTCCCTCGCACACAGCCTTCCATTTTCCATCTCTGTACCTTCACATTGACTCTCTTCCTCCCTTTTCCTTACCCCCACGGCTTTAATGCTGTCCTTCTTCCTAGTTTCTTTGGTCTCCTTCAATACTCAGCTTAAATCCCACCTTTTGTAAGAGGCCATTCCTGGCCTTCATGGACTGCCACATTGTGCTGCTCTTTTATGTCAAGACTGCAGTCCATTAAGATTTCCCAAATCTTTGTTATTTTCAGATAAACTGCTGTCTAATCACCAAAGCACCTAGGTGGCACAATGGATAGAACATTTGGCCTGAAGTCCAAAGATCTGAGTTCAAATCTCCCTTAGATACATATTAGATAAACTAGCTACTTAAACTTTTTTTGCTTCAATTTCCTCACCTATAAAATGAAAAGTAATAAAAGCACCCACCTCCTGGAATTGTGGCCAAGATCAAATGAGATAATATTTATAAAGCACTAAGCACAGTGCCTGGAACATAGTAGGTACTATATTTGTCAGCTGTTATTGTTGTTTAATCATTCATTCATTTCCCACATAGATTTACTCAGATGTCCCTACTACAGGTGTTCTACTTTTGCTGTAGCAGGGAAATGTGTTTGTCTTCTACTCAGGTTATCAGATGTGATAATGCAAAACATTATCAGAGACTTTTGCCAGGGTGTAGCTTACAGAATGCCATGAGATAGGGATTTTTATCCTAATTTTAGCTCTGGCAGCCTAAGCAGGGTGATGTATTCTAGAAGTAACCAGATTATTATTATTTTTAAGACTATTTCAAAAAAGTGTAGATACTTTTCCTTCATATGGATTCTAATTCACATTGCCTATACTATACCTTCCTTGGTCTTCAAAGGCTCAATAATGATCATTATCCTTGCAGATTGAAGTAATTTTGATTTACCTGGGTACCTGTGGAAGGTAGCAAATCTCTGACCACCAGCTTCACTTCACCAACTTTGTGATAAATTTTCTAACCTTATACATCTATTTTCTGCCACTCTCCCTTTTCTTCTACGCCCAACAAGAGGTACATGGCAAGACCAAAGTCTCCATGTCCTACACAGTGTGGGGTCTTGTGTCAGTTATTCACTTTCTTACTACTCTTAAGAGAAGTTGATTTTTGCACACCTAGAAAGGGTGGTCACTAAGAGTCAGCATGGGGTCATCAAGACTAGGTCTTGCTAGCCTAAGCTAATCTGCTTTGTTTTTTATAGTATTATCAGACTACTAGATCTGAAGAGTAGACACAGATTTCAGCAAAGTATCTGACAATGTGTATTATGACATATTCATAGAGAAGATGGAGAAGACACAGGTCAGACTGCCAGAACACATGTTCCTAGGAATCCCAGGCCACCTCAAGCTGTGGTCATTGTCTAGTAGGGGGACACTAATGTAGGTGCTAGACTGCTGAGCGTTGCATCTCTGAACAGCAAGGAGAAAATCCAACCAACTGCAAAATGAACTAGAATAATGGATCTTGGAAGGTAAAAGTCACACCTGAGGGGTGAACAATTATAGCAAAGTGTAAAGGCTAGATAGATGGGAGAAGGAGATCTCTCTTCTCTTTCCAGAACTTTTCCACACCACCATCACTCTCTTTGTTTCTCTTTTTCTTTCTTTCTTCCTTCCTGCCTTCCATCCATCCTTTTTCTCTCTTTCTTCTTTTCTTCCTTTCTTTCTCTCTTTCTTCCTTTCTCCTTTTCCCTTTCTTTCTCTCCCTTCCTTTTTTTCTTTCTCTTCTCTTTCTTTGTTTCTCTGTCTCTGTATTTCTCAGTATGTCTCTGTTTCTGTTTGTCTGTCTCTGTTTCTCTCTCTCCTCTCTCTCTCTCTCTCTCTTCTTCTCTCTCTCTCTCTCTCTCTCTCTCTTTCTCTGTCTCCCTCTTTATTTTTCACTTAGTCTCTTTCTTCCCATTTTAACTGGCTATAGCAAATAACATGAAGCTATGCTGCTACTGCCCCGGACAAATGACAAATGGCTTCCATACCACTCCTTACACCGTCCCCAATATGCCAGTGCTCTGGTTTGAAAGTGGGTCTATTACCAACATTTTCTCAGGATACTATTCCTTCCTTTCCTTTCTTCCTCTATACCAAACAGAAACTTACCTAATCCATTCCTAGAAATTTCAAAAACCGGCATATGTCCTCTGTCAGCAAACTTGCTGCCATGATCAATCAGAGCTTCTTTCACTGCCTTGTACCCGTGTAACACGACAACGCGCTCAACACCCATTTGCAGAGTGAACACTGAGCCATATTCTTTTGCTAGCTGTGAAAAGACATGTGGGCAGCAGTGAGAGGGTCATCACTGAATCAGGTGATAAACAGCTTGGATTACTGTTGTTGACCTTATTACAGAAATTCTCAATCCATCATCAGCTACTTCAAAACATTTCTGACATTTGTTACAGAGAGGATGATGCAACCCATGAACCAAACCCAAGCCACACATGGCTCAAAAGGCTAAAATTTCATTCTGTGCCTTTGGCACAGAAGACTGCTCTCCTTTCTCTAGCAGCCAGAACCCTGTCTAATGAGGCACAGTTTATGACCTCAGGGCTTATATTTCTTAGTTAGGTGTCATCATGGATACAGCACTGGACCTGGAATCAATACTCAAAATCCAGTTTCAGATACTTAATAGCTATGTGACCCCAGGAAAATCACTTAACCCCTGTCTGATTCAGTTTCCTCATCTGTAAAATGAGGATAATAATAATACCTAATTTTAAGGATTCTTCTGAGAATAATAAGATAATATTTGTGAAACATTTGACAAACCTTAAATCATTATATAAAGGCTATTATTATCATCATTATTATTATTCACCTAAAACTTTCAGAAGAGCAGAGTTGGGGAATAGGGGCAATTCTGTCAGTGAAGGTCTGGAGCAGAAAAGGCTCCTCATTCCAATAGAAATACTACAAACCAGTATCATTGGATCATGGGTATAGATCCATAAGGGACTTTAGAGATCATTTAGACAGAGGTTCTTAACCCCTTTTTTGTTGTGTACTCCTTAATAGGTTAGTAAAGCCTATATACTCCTCTGAATGATATTTTTAGAATAAAATACATTGGATTACAAAGGAAACCACTTATATTAGAGTAAAATAAAGATGTAATTTTTTCCCATCCTATCTCACAGAACCTCTGAAATAAATCTACAGGCCCACTGGGAGTTCATGGCCCCAAGGTTAGGAACTCCTATTCCAAATCATTCATAATTTTACCAGTTGGGAGACTGAGGCCCCAAAGATCAGGGTATATCTGGGAAGAATTTGGTGAAAGTATCTGGCAATCTGTCAGGTCAAAATGAGAACATTTTTTGGTTTTCATATGTTAACCTTACTTAATCTTTTCTCATCACCCTGTGAGCCAAATAGTATATTTACTGGATAATGTCTGTACGAGGATACAGACCTTGGAAACTGAGGTCCAGAGAGGTCATCACACTTGTCCAGTCATAAAGCTAGTAATTGTCACAATCTGGACTTGAACCCAGGTCTTTCTAATTCCAAATTCAATGCCTTTTCTGCTACCCCAGGTTACCTTTCAAAGGTTTTAAGATCTACAGGTCTCAGTTCAGAACTTGCTGGTTCCTCTTGAGGCCAGGCTTGCTTTCAGCCAGGCATACTTAAGATTACATGCAAGCACACAGAGACTACCTGAGTGCTCCTGGGAAGGAATGTGCAAGGAAAACATTCTCCACTCTGATCCAACAAAGGCTGGAGGTCCCCACCTGTTTGCAAGACCTGTTCATTCCTTAGACAGCAGAAATAATCAGGCACATCAAATACCCTCTTTCTTTCTATGGTGGGCAATGAACATTTTAAGTGGGACTGACAGCATTTTATCCTGAACTTTGTAGTGCAAAAGTGAGCAGTAATAGCAGAAGAAGGCACTTTAGGTAGAATGGATTTCATCCAAACCTACAGGAACTTGATAGCACTCAGCTACAGCTGAAGCAGTGGGCCCTGATGGCCACTATAGTGAATCAAAATAGGTCTAGAAAACCTACAAGGTGCCTACCTCCCTACTCTAACATGCTATACTCATTAGAACAACATGTTGGAAGACAATCTCCCAAAACAAATTGCTAGAGTCAGGAATGAAACCAACATAAGATAGAGATCCATACTTACAGTGCAAAGAGATTCAGGGATATTCTTAAGGTCCACCTGCAGTATATTGCCAATAATGGGAAGAGGAACAGGACCAGGTGGAAGTTTTCCTCTTCCAAAGTTCTTTTTCCATGAGGAAATGAGAAGCAGGCATGAGATACAGAGCAGTAAGGCAAGAGCAACGGCCACAGATGGATCCATTGACACACTTCCTTACCACTAATGCAATGGAACGCTTACAATCCAAACCTGGGAGGATTGCAAACATGAGATCAATCAGCTAATAATTCCTTAAAATCCTGAAAAATCTTTCAAGGGATATTTTACCTGCCAATAAGATAAAGAGAACCCTACCTTTCTTCTGTCGTAGTGTATTTTAAAGTATCAGGAGCCATTAAATTTGTTGTTTAGTTTCACTGATTCATTTTGCTCCTTATATACCAGAGTTATTTCCCAATATGTCCCCACCCCCTTACAATCAATACTTTTAACAAACATTAAGCAAAACCTACGATACCAGGATTTTGACAGTGTATGTCATATCCCACAGTATCTTATCATCCTGCTGAAAACAAGTATTTCTTAATCTTTTCCAAGACTGAGGACACTTTTATAACATTAAGAACTTCATTGACCCATTGTTGTTTGTCCTCCTTTGTCCAAGAGGACCATGACCTCAGGGAGGTGATGCCACGACTTGCAAGTGAATTGGATTTAAGTGAGGGATGGCTTTGCATGTCACCAGCCTCACTTTCTCCTCTGGAGTCATCTGGGTCCACTAGCCAGTTATAGATCAAGATGTTTGAAGATAACTGTGGAAGCAGTAGGAGACCTTGGCATTTTTAAGTTGAGGGCTTTCCCAGGTCTCATGGAAAGGACTTGTAGGACCCATTAAACTTTTATCAAAGAAAACTTGAGTTATTGGGTAGGAAGAAGGAAATTGTAGGTTCCTTTTTTGTTACAATCTTTAATATTTCAATGAACACCACTGAGGTACTTCATGTCCATTTTCACTTTTAAACAGATGGCAGTGGAGTAACAGTGTGAGCCATGTTATGTGCTCTTTGTACATGTATATCATGTGGATGACAGAGGAATACATGACCATGAAGGCCAGGCCACACTCTGCTCCTGAATATCTGCAAAATACAAAGCTCACTGTGTTAATGTTTTTCTTGAGTTTTTCTGCTTTACAAATAAAACATCAATCTCAAATTTCAAAATCAAATTTCAATCTCTTTCAATCTGAAAAAGGAAGGAAATCATGACAGCTGAGAAAATGTACTAGGTTTTAAAACTTTTAAAATTCCCCATGAAAGTTAATATAAAACATTATTTCCTGTTTATCTTTATCTGATTCCCCAACCTCCAGAATATCTACTTTCATTGACTGTAGCCCCATCCCAGGATACATCTGGAGACATGTTTCATTGACCCATTTATTATAGTTATATGATTAGTATTCATTAAAACACATAATTACAAAGAAACCATTTTATAAATTCAGCATTGCTTTTAAGCTAATTTGAACTTTAAAAATTAAACTTGATTACAGTTTTGAAAAATAACACATATGTGTATAAAACAATATTCTTTCAGTCTACAGTGATTATTTTGGTACATCAAACTTGTGTTTTTAAATGACAGTGCTTGGGGTGCATTTTGATCCAAGGGCCACTTGCAATTACTCCATAATGTATAGATTGGAGAACAATAATCTATAGTAAATTGTCAATGGAGACCACAACTGATGATAATAATATCCTTCCCTGAAAAAAAATGGTCTTTCAATTCAATTGTCATTTATGTATTTTTTTGTGAGGCAATTGGTGGGTTAAGTGATGTGAGTCATTTTTTTTTTAATGGGGAAAGCTCTTTTTTATACATACTGCCTTTGAAGGTGTTAGCTTGAAAATAGTACCCAAGAGAAGTAGAAAAAAAGAATTTTTGTCTCAAAATTCTCCTTAATTCTCCTTAATCAGTTTAATGCTGACTCATTGAATGATGACAAAATGTAGTTATCAAGTACCTATTGCATACAGAAAAGAAAGAGTTGTAACACTGGCAACTTCTGTAGGTTAGAGGCTGAGATATGCTGATAAAAATGTTTAACACCCAGAATCAGTAGGAAATATACGTGTATATATAAAACACACTTTAAGTTTAAGGTGCATTATTAACATTTTCACCATCATTTTCTTAAGTCTAGACAATCAACAACAAAGCAACAATTCACACCCCTATTTGTAACATTTGCTATAAAGCCTCATGCTGGAAATTTAAGAATCAAATCTCATGCAATGGTATAAGCTGAATCCAGCACTTCTTCAGTTATTTTAGTTGTTTGTGATTCTTTCTGACCCCATTTGGGGTTTTCTTAACAAAGATATTGGAGTGGTTTGTTACTTCTTTCTCCAGCTCATTTGACAGATGGGGAAACTGAGGCAAACAGAGTTAAGTGACCAGCACAGGGTTGCTCAGTTAGTAAGTATCTGAGGCTGAATTTAAATTCAGGTCTTCCTGACACCAGGCCCAGTGCTTGCACCTTCACAAAAAATGACAATTTATTAGGCCATAAAACCTTACAAACAAATGCAGAAAAAGAGAAATATTGAATTAATCCCTTTCAGATCACAATGCAATAAAAATTATATTCAATAAAGGGCTATGGAAAGAGAGATTAAAAATTAATTGGAGACCAAGTAATGTAATCCTAAGGAATGAGTACATAAAGGAACAAATCATAGGAACAAGAAATAATTTCATTAAAGAGAATGACAGTGAGGCAACATATAATAACTTATGGGATGCAGCCAAAACAGTACTTAGGGACATTTTTATATTTCTAAACACACCAATAAAACAGAGAAAAAGTAGATCAATGAATTGGGCATGCAATTCAAAAAAACTAGAAAAAGTAAAAAATTTTAAATCCCCAATTAAACACCAAGTTGGAAATCCTGAAAATCAAAGGAGAGATTAATAAAAATGAAAGCAAGAAAACCATTTAAGAAATAAACAAAACTAGGAGGTGGTTGTCATATGTGATTGTAATATCATTGTAATATCATGTCAGATCATGATGTAAGAAATTCTGAGTAAGATGTTTTCTGAAAAAAACTGGGTAGACATATCTGAACTGAGACAAAGAGAGGTGAGCAGAACCAGGAGAATATTGTACACAGCAACAGCAATATTACATGATGACCAACTGTGAATGACTTAGCTGTTCTCAGCAATATATTGAACCAAGACAATTCCAAAGGGCTCATGATAAACATACTTTCTGTTTCCAGAGAAAGAACTGATGGAGTCTGAATGAAGATTGAATCTTTTTTTAACTTTCTTTTTTTCCTTTTTCATATTTTTTGGGTGGGCTGTGCTTTATTTTGTAACTTGGCTAATATAGAAATAAGTTTTGCATGATTGCACATTATAATATATATGTGTGCATATATATATATACACAGATACACAGACACCCAGACACACACACACACACACACACACACACACAACATATATTTGCTTTCCTTCTGAAGGGGGGAGAAAATCTGGAACTCAAAAATTTTTTAAATGAATGTTTAAAACTGTTTTTACATATATTTAAGAAAAATTGAAATAAATAAATGAGAGAGAAACAATTGCCAGTTTTCATTAGTAGTTCTCAATTTAAAGAATCCAATAACAAAAGTTTCAGGTAAAGAATTCCTTCAATTGGATTCTGCAAATGTAAGGGTCCATATTTATCCCAGGCAAGGTACAATGTATAAAACCTTATAAACTGTGAGTGAGAGAGGGTCTGAGGGCCTTCCCTCACAGGGAAGAGCACAGCAGCTCATCTTTCTCACTAGCCACTAAAAGGAAAAGAGACCAAGTGGTCCCCAAGGAACTTTTGTAGGCACTCTGGGTTCCACTTAATATCCATGTTCTCCCAGGACTGCAACTTCACTGGCCATTCCCTTGTTATGGGAGGAAGAAAGGAAGGAAGGAACAAAGGAATGAAAAGGAAGAAAAGAAAGGGAAAGAAGGAAGGAAGGGAAGGAAGAAAGGAAAGGAGAGAAGGAAAGGGAGGGAGGGAGGAATAGGGAGAGAAGGAAGGATGTATAAGAGGGAGCTAGTAGGTAAATGACTTCAGTTCTTTCAGTGAAAGATGAGATGTGGGAGCCAAGATGGTGGAGTAAAAAGGTAGCAGCTCTCACCCTCCCCTATCAACCTCTGAAAACCCAGAAAATATCACCCCAGGAAAAAAAAATCACTGTAACAGCTGAACTAGAAGAAAGACTGGGAACAGCAGTCCAACAGCCCAGCCAAAGGGTCTTCCAGTGCCTCAGTAACAATAAGGGAAGCAGCACTAGAAAGGGCCCCAGACGGATAAGCACCCTGCAGAATTCAGCTGAAGAAAGCAACCTAGAGTCTTCTTAAAGTCCCAGCCTTGCTGATTCCAACCCAACAACAGGTAAACTGTCAGAACCCTAGAGCCTTCAACTCTCAACCAAGAAGAGATCCTGAAGCCCAGGTGGGTAGAGCAGGCAAACATCAACACCTGAACCCCTGGGTGCCTCAATGAGGGCGGGGGAACCAGTGGAAACCAGCTCACAAAACCACCAGGTGCCTCAGCACTCTACTGCAAGGGAATCTCCCAGTGCATTAGCAAAAACGAGGGAGGCAGCATTGCAAGGGGCCCCAGGCAGATAAACACCCTGCAGCAGCCATCTAAAAGGAGCTGAAGAAAGCTAAAGGAAAGGAAAAGCAAGGCAACCTAGAATTGCCTGAAAGTTTCAGCCTTGCTGATTCCAGCCTAACATGAGGTAAGCTGCCAGAAACCTGCAGCCTACAATTCCCAGCATAAGAGGCACCATAACGCAAAGCCCAGTGACCAAGACCTAGGCTCACAACACAAGAAGCTTGGGTCAGTACCCTCTGTTCCCCAGCAGGAGAGCTCAATCTCTTTAAAGGGCAGGGAATAAAGAAACCATGAGTAAAAAGAAAAGTACCATAGATTCATATTATGAGAAGAGTGGAGATCAAGACAGAAATTCTGAAGAGGACAACATTGTCAACAAACCCACATCTGCAACATCAAAAGGGAATATGAACTGGTCTGAAGCTCAAAAAGCCTTCTTAGAAGAGCTCAAGAAGGATTTTAATAGTCAAATGAGAGAGGTAGAAGAGTCTTTAAAAAATGCAATTGGCCAATTGGAAAAAAAGTACATTGAAGAAAACAAGTCCCTAAAAAACACAGTTGGCAAACTGGAAAAGAAATACATTGAAGAAAACAAATCCCTTAAAAATGCAATTGGCCAAATGAAGAAGGAAGTACAAAAACTAACAGAAGAAAACAATCTGTTAAAAACTAGAATTGGACAAATGGAAACTAATGTCTCTATGAGAGAGCAAGAATCAGTCAAACAGAAAGAAAA